CCCTTTCTTCTATCTTCATCTCATCAACCACAAGAGTATTGAGTTCATTATTGTTGCCCCCTTTAGAAAAACAGAGTTTTACTCAATTTACAAATGTTTTACTTAATCGCCGCCTTGTATACTCTCGGCGCCTTAATTCCTCACTTCCTTCGGCACGGAACTTTGTTTAATCTTTAATTCACGTATCGTTAGACGTAATGGACGAGATCGTGTGACATCGCGACAAGGCACACATCACCGACATCCGTTCCAATGCCCTTTTTATTTCGCTTCGCTACAACTCAATGTTATTGTGCCTTTCTATTCTTTTCCGATTACATAGGTAACTCTACCCATCTACGATCTTTCTTTTAACACAATGCGGTGGTTTTAATTGTCAATCTTCAGAATCTTAAGCCTTAAAACAGACAGAATAAATGCTATCGTTACATCTTGTTTTCGATTTGAACAATACGTTTAGTTGAGGAGTTTGAATTGGGTATTTCCAGGTAATTCAAGTTTGTCCTATCCAGAAAATCTCAAAACTATCATCAATAATCAAGTGGCAAAGTAGTTAAAAGTTTAAAATTGAAGAAAATTTAATTATCTAACTATTATCTTATAAAAGTTATAAAAAGCATTTTAAAATATGACAAATACTGTATATTCAGTCTCAAAGTCCCCATGGATTTAAGGGCTTTCCGGCCCGCACTCTGACAATAAAAACAATCAGTCCCACATAGTGTGACATGAAGCAGGTCTTCTAAAATGCACTTGTATGAAGGGCATCTAATTGTCATGGTATTGCATTCTTCCATGCACACAAAATCCTCTACCAAGATCACATGTTACTATTTTACATCGTGACCGGCGGTGTGCCCTTGTTGTTTTGAATGATATTGTTACATTCAAGCGGCGTGACTTTTATTGAATGAAATGTTTGAATAGTTTTCTTCACCACAGGGGTGCTGCATCCCCAGCGCGTTTCCTCTACAAGGCAGGAAATCGATTCTTCAAAAATGTCGTGTTACAAATTCGTTCAACACTCTTTCCCTTATACCTATTTATATACGTACTTTCATACCTTCGCTTGTGTATTTGAGTTGTGGTCATTGTGGAAGTTATAAATTCACATTAACAGTATAAACTTAAACTAGTAAAAGTTGTATTGAATGCGTATTTACCTGTCGTTTAACGTAACATTAACTTTAGCAAATTGCCAAACGCAGAAACATACATAAAGCATAAGATGGGCATTCGTGCGTGAGGTTATGCATTCACAACGCACAACACACCACACATGAATGTAGTTGGTCATTACGCGAATAAATTCACGCTTGAATTTCTTTACACACCTCTGTAATACAAACATTCACGCATTCCTTTTCGGTTCAGTTCAGTCTCCAGCTTCCGGTGGTGTTGACTAACAATAAAATCAGAAATATGACAACGTTGTCAACACGCAGACGCACATACTTTGAATACCGGAGCAAATTCTTTTACTCGCGCCGATATCGATTTAATTAATTAATTAATGTGCACCGTTCGATTTCATTAGCGCACAAATCATAGATTATACTAATCTCTTCTCACACTCAAGTCGCCAAGTCTCACCAGAATATTACCGTCCGCGCATAAGTTTTTAACATCGACGTAACTTCTAGCTTCGGTTCCGGTGATTAATATTCGAGAATTACCTGAACTGTTAGAACCCCACCGATCCTACCGGAGTTAAGAAGCGAAGCTATCGCTATTCGTGAACTGCTAATTAAAATTAATGATCCAATATGCTACAATTCCTATACTCTTAACTTTACTTTGCTTTAGATCCAAATTCTTTTAATTTAAAGTTAGGTAAAATTTCTACCTGGATTCCTGGAGGTCCTACAGTGCGTTATAAGGTGATAAGATGAAGAATCATAAAACTATTAAATGTTAGCGCAGACAGCATGAGAAAAAGTAAACAACGTGATGATAATCATGTCTGATAGATAAGGTGGTGGTTCGTGGTGACTCGAGCTAGGTGTAAGTGGAATTTCAAGAAAAAGCATGTTGTGAATTGAATAATAAATAAGAAACCCCTAACTATAATATCAAAGATTAATTCCCAGAACGAATGGTGTAAATATTATATAACATAATTTTGTGTTTTCTTTGTTTTCATCGAAATTGACGCTTATTAAAATTGCATTATGCAGCAAACATGAGATTTGCCAATCGCAGCGATAATTATTGACTGCTTTGCGTTTTAATTACTCTGCGAAATTAAATCATTAAAAACCAAGACAATGCATTCGGTTTGCTCACGATCTGCCAATTCAGCAAAGTCGGTTACTTCTGATTAACAACGGTGTGATTAATCAATTAATCTGTCTTACTCAGCAAGCTACACAATATAGTGAAAGTTTTTGCTTGCCTTTGTTTACGAAGAAGAAAATAAATTATGTTAAAAGTTTAGTGAGGTTTGCGAATGTACCGGAGAGAAAATTCTCACCAGGCTTGTAATTCGGAATACTACATCCCTAATTGTGTTGTGCAGCTGTCTTTTTTCATGTTTGCAAAAGCTGGAAGGAACCAGATTTAATTAATATTTCGAACTACAAATTCGAGATTTTCTTCCTACCGCAAAGTTTAAAATAATTGTTAAAACACCAAGTTTTAAAACGGTCATTTTGTAGGCGTTAGATAATCGATGATGATTCTATTGTTGTCCATATGGATGCCGCACTTTGTCGAAAATTGCCGTCATAAACTGTTCTTCCTGCCCTTCAAAACCCATCAATGTAAAATGGTGAGATGCGCCCTACAGTGTTCTCACACATTGTGTTTTTTTTAGATCCGATCTGTTTTCTCGGCTTCGAGAGAGGTAGGCAGAACAAGTGTTTCCGAACACAAAAAAAACTCTGCCAAAAGAGCAAAACCGCACCTTATATGCGCACAGTTTCGCCCACACTTCAGTAAAATGCATCCACTACGGCACAAGTGCAATGTGCATGAAAACAAAAACCAATGAATTCTTCGAGGGAGACAACAGACAAGGACGTCTAACTTGGCGTTTATGAAGGAGACACACATTCTAAGCTCTTCGTATTCCCATCATAGTAAAAGCCGAGTAAAGTGATCGTGAAGACTATGATGTTCGGCGGGTTCTCATGCATTTGCTGTATGCTCATGGAGCGTTCAAAGGAGCATCTGGTAGGCATCCCAAAAATTTCATATTATTTTGTATACTTCAACGCTTTTGTTTATTGCTTTTGGCAGTTTTACTCCTACACCATTTAATGACACCATGCCTAATTAGTAAGCAATCAATTCTATGAGTAATTAATTTTTCATTAAAAACGTAGTTAATATATTTTTACCAAGCCCCGTGTGCATGCATCAATTCGATTTGATGTCCGCGTTATTTAAAAGTGTAAAAAAAACTACACAATTGTTTCATACAACCTTGCAAATTTAATCAAATCAAAATCTAAGCACAATTAAAACACATTTTATTCACTTCTCGTAAGAAATTCACGAACGCAAGATGGCGTAAACCGCGCGTGAATCGACTCATGAGAAAAACGTTTGTTCCGACGCGGACTTAACGACAAAACGTGCCATTATAATAATCCGGGGCAGAAGGTTTTCGCACTACTACCGACTGTAAAGAAACGATTAAAAATACTGTGCCGTTTAACCAAGCGCTGCGTATTGTTCGCACTGACCTTCTTGCATTTTATTTATTTTAATTGCGACTAAGAGACAGAAACACGACGCCAGCAATAAACTACAAAATAAAATTATGTAACACGGGTTTGCAATCAGAAGTAACAATTGAAAACAATTCCGAACTTTTATCATGTTTTTCACAAGAAATTGTAAGAACCCTTACTCTTTACAGACAATACATGCTCTGGTAAGATAACCTCACAAGTTGGCTATAATTAAATGTTTTCCAATACAGGAAATGTAATTGTCTATAGTTGTAACTAACAATTAAATCGGTTGCAATTGCATCGCTGTCACAATGTCAACATTGCGCATTGTCTTGTACTCTCGCTTGATTCACGCAAACCCATATTATTTTTATTGTTTCCAATGTCTCCATCACACTGTAATTATATGATTGCAGAGTTTTGTCACATTCTCACTAGCGTTTGTTTCAGACCTTTATTTTGTGACATATCCGTGTGAATCAACGCTAGTGTGTAACATGATTATAACCTTTCGTTGTTCGCTAATTGAGAGAAAACAAAACATTTTTTTATTTACATTACTTTTTAGAGTTTTACCTGAGACTGACTGCATTAGAACGAATCAAAACAGTAATGATAGCGGGCATTTAGATGTTAAAGAGCAAGCGAAAAAAGCAACATAAAACGTTTGATTCCACGGCGTATTACACGTCCAGCCAACAAATACGATAACAACGTGGGAATCTTGGATGTCGGAGTCGGATGACGCTGGCACCGCAAGAATTACAAAAGTGAGGTAAGACTCTCGTGGGCTTCACAGGAATCTTCCAAAGCGTCAAGTTCCCAAGCCTTTTCGTCACTGCACACAGAGTAAAATGGTGAAAATCATCAACTTCCAGTATTACCTACCGTTTGTAATGTTTATTAAATTCAGCAGTACTATTGTGAAAAGACCTTGTAAGGTCGTCTGTGCGCGCATGCGTATCATATATGTGTGTGTGTGAGTAAACACATGACCAGATGCGCTCAGCGCAGGTAACGCAAGTAAGAAAACGCGATTAACAGGATGTGGTGCGGTGTTTTGGACGCACCGGTCTGCAATCACGATGAAGTTCCACCACTCATCGAAGAATAAGTTATAACATGTTGTACCTATGTGTGCGTTTCTACATAGTGATGATTCTCCATCGAATCATCGCCGCGTCGATGAGTAAACGCATTTACTCACGCTTTACCCACACCATAAATTCATCACTTTACCAGTACTTACACGTTTATCGCGTTCAGAATCATCAGGTAAAAATTTACTAAATTAAATTTAGCATATTGTTAAGTGCTCACCTGAATGTTGTTTTCGTTCAGCGATGAGTAGCTCGAGGAACGGCTGCCAAGCGGTTCGGGACTTAAACTTCCGTAGGAAGTTGTCGAACTTAGCGAGACGGTGTCGGCCCGGCTGCGGAATGGTGAAAGCTGCACGTGTTTCATCATCTGTAACAATCGATAAATTTTGATTTAGGTAATCATAAAAAAACTTACACCAAACATGACGTAAGACAAAATTTTAGGTTTTGGGGAAACGTGTGGGAGCTTCATTATATATTTTTAATTGTTGATTTGTAATATGTTGATTTTTTGCTTACAAACAGAAAAAATCTAATACGTAACAATTTGAATAAAATCTATATTTTTGACGTTACAAAGTTAGAATTTTTCAGATTCGGATTTCTCAAGTGAAAGACTGAATCCGGCCGATAAACCTTACAAAGTTTCACCTTGCGGTTTTCTAGTTATAAAAACTGAATTCCTGCGGTTTTTTCTTCGTGTTTTTTTTTGTTGTACCTGAAAGTCCTGCTCTATATAAAAGTTCATCTTAAAATTAAATTCCTTGCGACCACTGTGCATGTCCATTCTCATCACCTTCATACTGTCATTAATTAAACCCGAAATCTTTCCGGCATTTTCGGAAACAATTTGTCGTTCTGTGTAATACGACAACCGATAAACACTGCAATTATCCTAATTAGGTACACAAATTAACTCATAACTCATTACAGTGATGAAAATTTTACATTCGCAAAGATAATTTTGTTCGTGTTCGCACAAAAACAAACAAAAAAAACGCGAATACAAACTTTTTGCTTTTGCAAGTCGGTAGGTCGGTTATTAACGTCGTCATATTATTATTTTTTGTTCATCTTCGGGAAGCTGCGCTAAAGTGGCTGCCGTTGTAATTATATAAGTTTGACCGCTTAATAATCCGCATGTACGGTTTGCTTAACGAAGGTACTTACTACCTACATGAAAAGCAGGAAGTCTTTTCCAGCTTCAAGAATGTCTCATAACCTGATAAAATATAACAAAACAAAACAAGGGCATAAAGTGTAGCCAGAGATTATAGTGCAAGCATAATTTTGATTAAAGTTATATAAACGCACAACAGTCGTAAGTTGTAGTAATTAAATCTATTAGACTCGGCAAGATCTCGTTTGTCTAGACAAGCACAGACAAAATCAAATAAAAACGCCGTTTTAGTTGATTGCGTGTGTGAATATCATATTTTCTGCAGGCAACACATAAACGTTGAAGGTTCAGAGTTTCATGACCCTTCCGCCAGGCGACTGCAGGTCTAGCCTCGACCACAGTACGAGTAAACAATATGGGGGGCGCACCCATTGTGTTGCACCTTCAAACGCCAAGTCGATGCACGCTAATATTCCACACACACGAATATTTTCAGAAGTTGCACGTTAGTATAGATAGACAGGTTCGAAGGACCTCAACGGCCACACCTTGAAAGTTGGGCCACGCGCGTTCATGTTGCATAAAAGTCGCAATAAAAAGAAGCCGAAAAGCATCAATCATGCTTTACGAGCGTTTCGCGCCATATCGTTCGCAGTGGGTGTGACTTGCTGGAAGTATCAAGCCCTTTTTAATCATTTGATTGTCATCTAAAGCACATTATATCTTATACAATATTGCATTACATCATATGGATCTAGTTATGTATACGCCTATGATTAACTTAAACAAATTAACAAATATTTTTGTTTAATAATCTAAGACTTCTCATAACCTAATCATAATATGCGTATACGAGTATATTATGTAGATCGCGACTTTTTGCGTGGTGAGCTGATTCGAGTCTAGACCAGTTGACCAATTAATTTAAATTAATTAATTAACTTATGCCATTAGAAATCCGAGGAACATAAATTATCATTCCATCATGTCACATCCGTTTTAAAATCTATCTAAAGACATAGTTTATGTTTATGTAAAGACCAAATTTTCACCAATATCCTATTAAATAATTAATAATGCACAAATTATTATTAACACTTACGCAACGTGAATTTATAGTATTTATAATTATGTTATTCGCTATGGAATGTAAGTAAAAACGCATTTTGTAAAAACACATTTTACTTAATTTTCCGGTTTATTAAAGACAAAATATAAAATATTTCACTAAAAGTAATAATAATATTATATATCTGCAGAAACCAACTTTTCAATTTTTAATTCCTATCGTTGTTCTTAACCAGTTGATAATTTATGAATACTTTATTACCATTCTTGTGCAATGTTGAAATATCAAATGGATATGCCACATGCCCTTTTCAATCATTTTATTGTTGATATAACCATGTTACTTTTATAGCTTCAATATGTAATGGCGTAACAAACCGTTTCGCTTTACTGTTGATATCGTTCCGTGCGGGAACGACATTCGATAATGTAATAATTCAAGTTTTGAAAATGGTAGCGATGTGGACATGAAAGCACACCCGACTATTTAACATTGGTTGTTGGCAATCGCGAAGCGGTGGCTGATATGATAGGAACAGAAGCTGAGCTTTAATCGAACCGGAAATGTGATAAAACTCTATTTCGTAACAGAGAAAAATATTATTACAGTAAATATATAATAGTAAGTACTCTCATATAATAAAAATTAATTCAAAGCACTTTTATAATAAATACAATTTACATCTGAACAAATAACGATTGAGAAAGGAGTATAAAAAGAAGTATTGAAATCAGAAAAGTTACTCAATAATTTTTCTTATTATTATTGTAAAAAAAATCATCGAGATTAATAATTTCCTCTAGATCCATTATCATGTAGGCATAATATAATCAAATATCTACTTTGTTAGATAAATATTCTAAACTCAGTTTATACTGTTTGTCATCCGTTATGCTTGGTTATGTTATAATTTTGTAGGTTATATACGTCACTATCATGTTATATAGTGTCGTACATGTGTTTATTCTATACGACGTACGTCCAGCATTGTTTCATAAATCACAAACAAAAAGCTGCAACTTACGACGCATAACAAACACAACACGCGTCTTGTCAGAAACGACTGAAGTTGTTTGATGTACCTACTCGTCGTTTGCTCATTACGCTGACCGCGAGTATGTACGATCATGTAAGAGCATGTAACACGCGCGCGACGTGTGTCAGTCGTGCCCGAGAAAATTGTTCAGTTTTCGTCGGAACCAGGCCAAAACACAAAACAATTTAAGCATCAAGAGATGTAATAACAGAGGAGACCCACATAAAGCGTAGAACTGAAGCAAATTATACCTATGCATATATAATATAATCAAATTTTAATTGTATACTAATCAAATTAAATACTGCGAATATTTCAAGTTCATAATCAAGAAGCACAATAATGGATGACGGATGTAATTACGTATTTAGGTAACAATGATAATTGTAAATTGTGAATGGAATGATTTAGAATTTATGTCTAGACCAGTCTATGACGTCCTTAAGCAGCATTGTGAATTGAACAATTGCTGACATCAAACCGTACAAGTACAAATTAGTAATTGATTTTTAGATTGTGTAATTTATTGTTTCAAAACTTCAAGTATGAAATGAAATAATTAACACCACGCTACATGAAATTGTATTTAATCACTGCCTCGGTATTTTGCGCATTTCTCATTAACGTCCAGCGCGCGGACAACACTCGATGATTAAGAGCAGCAAGAAATATGAAACGCGTGTGAGTAATTAGAGCAGTTGTAGGACTTGAAACAGTTATGCAGAAATAAAACGAGTAAAGATTGGAATTTCCTCTCGGAGCAAGTGCAGAAATATAATGCAAATAAATGTGTGGAATTAATAAATTTAACAATCACGTGTAGTACATATCCACGACTAGAAAATTGAGCAAAATTATGTCATAGCATGTAGGTACGTTAGGTGTAATTATTACCACAGTACATGTAAGGTTTATTGCTGTTTAAATCTAGACTCTAGACTTTTGTTTTTTGTTAACATTGAGGTTGACAGAGCGAACATATGGTGGCACAATGGGTACGATCCACATACACATAAACACAGTAAATTGGTTGGTATATTTATACGGTACATTTGAATTTTGTTATTAAGTATGTATTGCTCTTGCTAACGGAGAATGATGTATATTCGTATATTGTATAATGTCAGGGTTAAGGTTTAAATTTTTTGCTTTATATGATTTGCCGGTTTCTAATAGATCCGAGTATCTATCCAGAAAACCCTTTAATTTAAAAAATACTGTTCCAGTCCCTTTAAACCTTTTAATTTTTTGTTCCGATCAGCTGAGCTGTTCTTATATTACCATGAACGTTGTGTTAGCGAAGTACGCGTATGTGTATGTTCTTATATATTGTTGCATTGCACAAGATGAAGTACAGCTGGGAAGCAGTAAAAAAAAACACAACTCTTCCGTTCGACCCACGCGCCCTTTTATCATTTCACAAGAGTGTCTCAAGTTGTTGAACCTTTCTTTTGTGTCCCGTCATTGTGTGTCCTCTTGCAGTTTGTATTTTCGTGGGCCGCGCCTCTCTCACAACCCATCAAGAAATAAAATAAAAGTTTGAATTTTTTTTAAATGCACATAATCTTAAAAAATATCTACGCAAACATAAATCATACTATAAATATTATTTTCAATTATTATTATGTTGAAGTTACACACAAATGATAAATAAATTAGCATATGTATTTTTTTTATAATTTGATTTAATGCTGTTCGCGGCTGTACGCATGTCTCATCATGAAAGTTAGCTTTTCTAGGCATTTAAATCATACATTTCGATATTCAGCAATGTTGACGCAGTTTATAAGCATAAACGCTAAATTACATTAACATAATACGGGCGCCTACATGCGATTTCATTGCATTTTAAACTTTTTATCGTGTTTTCAATTTTATTCAGTTTCGTTTTCTTGTAGCAATGACCCACAACTACCCAGCAAAACCATATGGTCACTTATTTTCGCTTAAACGTGCTTGCAATAATCTAACGCCCATTGTCACTAGTTATCTCATTTTTCACTAATCTACCAACACAAACAAATTAACTATCTAAGAAATAAACACCAAACGCAACTGAAAGTGAAACAGTGATAGAGAATTACATCGTTTTACGACTAGGAGGCTTTAATGATTTCTGTATGGTGTTGTATGTACTCAACC